TGTCTGCCAGGGCTGTCCGTGGGTGGAGCGGGGATTTGATCCGGGGCTTCGACCTTGACCGCGGCTGCGGTGACCGCCACGGCCACGGCCACTGCCGCCGCTGTGCTGCTGCTGTCCTCGGCCGCTGCTGGTGCTGTGGGGTCCGCGGCCCCCGCCGGTAGGGCTGTGGAGGATGGCGCCGGGGCTGCTGGCCGAGAGAAGGGCCGTGCCAGAGGAGTGATCATCGCTGCCCAGATCCATCCATTGTCCCTCTATGAGAAGGAGTGCCGATCGTGTTTGGAGAAACGTCGGGGGCGGCGTTTGAAACTGGAGGAAGGACGTTTGGTTCCGTATGTCGTCCGGCAGTCCCCGAAGAACTTGCAGCACGAGTTGTTGTTCGGAAACAAGGGCATCGACGTCGTCCAACCAGTCGGCTAAGTTTCTGAGGGCTTGGCAATAGGCCGACATGGTGAGTGACCCTTTCGTCGTCGTCCGGAATTGGTGCTCCAATTGCATAACCCGGGCAGGTTTGTTGTCATGGAAGAGAGAGTGAATAGATTTCCAGAGTTCCGTCGCCGAATCGGTAGAGGAGAGGACAAGATCGGAAACCTCGTCATTGATTGTGGAGAGAATCCACCCTTGGATGAGTGCATCAAGTTGGTACCATTCGGTGTCGTCGGTGCCGGAGGGAACTGATTTGCCGGTGAGAAAATCACCGAGGGAGAAGCGGCGAACCAAAAGGAGAAACAACCGGCTCCACTTTTTATAATTTGGCTCGGAGAAACTCAAGAGGATCGGGACGTGAAGCTTCACGTTAGAGATGGTGGTAAACGCCAAGTGAGGAGTGGAGGGTGGCGTGGTGGCAGATTTCTCAGGGGTAGGGTTTTTCTCTGTCATGGTGGCGGCGTTGGGGCGCTGTGGCGCTGGAGAATATGTCGCCGAGGGAGAGGGACGCACGGCAAGGGCGGCGTCAGGGAGAAGGACCGTCGCTGGAGAGACGGCGGCGAGAGAGAGAGGCTGTTGCCGCTGAGAAGAAGCTGGCCGAGAAAGAGGGACGCCGGAGAAGGAAAACGGCGTTAGGGTTTAGGTCTCGGAAAGAGGCTCTGATACCATGAAGAATTATTGTTTTCTATATTAATCTTGTGGAGTCAAGCTCCGTATATATACACGACTCCTATCTATGGTAGGATATAAACAAGGAAACCCTATACAAAGGAAATCTACCATATATGGAAGATATTAAATATACAAAATATTTAACATAGATGAACAGTTCCAAAAGTCAAAAGTGGACAAATATAGTGGGGCGGAAGTAATACCTATTAGAGACCAAATTTTACAATAACATATAAACGTTTCATGTCTTAGCATTTGGCTTCTCTTTTGAAATGCTCTATCTCCTCATTTGATAAAATTTTCTTTCATGTTTGGAAAGCGTAACAATTGTAAATTTCTTTCATTAATAACAAAACTTAATTTAAAATTCATACACTTTACATTTTCATTTGAAATTCAAAATTTTAAATTTTGAAATCAGAATGCATGAATTGAAATGAAATACTAGTTTTCAAACATTATCTTAGCTTATTTCTAACTTACACCCCCCATGCTGCAAAAGCCTTAATTTGATTGCCCATCTCTAAGCTTGTCCAAGGATCGGGATCGGGTCAATCCATAATGTTCTAAACCAATATTCTTTTTAAAAAAAATTGATCACGAACCGTACATGTTTAACTATGAAAGAAAAACATTTTAATTAAATACAAATAAAAATATTACTCCCTCCGTCTTAAAATTAATTTCCCATTTGACTTTTTACGGTCTCCAATGTGACACTTTGACCATCAATATTTTAATTTTCAAAACTATGTTTCAAAATGAATCTATTGCTTATAAATTTATATGAAAATTCAATATATTTTTTTCCGTAATATACGGTCAAAGTTTAAAAAGTTTGACTACAAAAGTCAAACTTGGAAATTAATTTTAGGACGGAAGGAGTACAAATATATTACAAGAAATCACCCTACATAGCACTCTAACTCACCCTAAATTACGCATCTAGCACTACTCATTGTTTTTAACAAATTTAGCACTTTTTTTGGGTCAATCCTTTCCTATCATGCCCTTTAACCTTTTTTCTTTTTCTCATTAAAAATTACGGCACTCCCTAGGCCGCACGTACTCTTCTTGCGCTCGGCCGCACGTTCTCCTTCAGTCGCCCGCCATCATGCGTCCTCTGGCCTTCTCCCACGATCTGGGCCGATCAGCAGCGGCAATCATCAGGTTATCTCCGCCTCCTTCATCGATGTGGCTAATCATTTTCTCTTCTCCTTCAATTTTTAATTTTCATTCCTTCATCCCTTTATTCGGATTTCCATGTATTTTTAGTTTTAATTATTGTGTTTTATTCGTGCTGAAGATTAGGTGGTGTGAAATCAATTTTGAAATACATAGTATTTGTTCCTTTTGAAAAATTAGGTCTTTTGAAAGGCATTGTGATTTTGGCACTCTTAAGATAATGTGCTATGGTGTGGGCAATGTGAAGATTAAATGCCTAAATGTTGTCCTGCATTTTTAGTTTTATTTTTTTCCTTGATCCTAAATATCTGAATTTGGTTCTTATCCTTAAAAAAATTTTGCATGTCAAAAAATTAAAAAATAAATTTACCTAAAATAATCCCACCTTTCATTTATTTTCCAAAAATATGTATTTTCAAAAAATCCTGTTTAGTGGCCGTTAGTTTTTTAACGGCGGTCCAAAACTTGCACACGTGCAGAAATGTGAGATTAATTTGTATTTGTTTAATATTCTGAAGTTTGCAATGTGACTAAAACGCCTATCATGTATATATATACGATGTGTTTTTGTATTCACCACCTCCATTAAATCCAGCATTTTCATCGCATATTAGGTTATACGTCTATTCTTTGAGTTCATTCCTTTATTTAATTTAATTGAATATTTTCTCTTTTATTATTTAAAAGGAGCATCACAGATGGGTCCAAATTTGACGATATTGCTACGTGTTGATGGGACATGGGATACTCATGGNTAGAGTGGAGAAGAGGCTGGGCCGTGGGTTGGAGGTGGTAGAGGTTGGGGTCGTCCTCCGTGGAGTCGAGAAAAACCAGTTCATCGGGAGTGGAAGAGTGACTATAGGGGTAAGAGTGTTCATCAAAGACGACATGACGAGAAACAATGATCTTATGAGTTTGGAGATCAAGGCACCGGTAACCACGTTGGTTAGACGGATACCCGAGAAAAACACATCGAGTCGAGCGAGGCGCTAGCTTGTGAGGAGCAGTGGCAGAGATGTTTGGGTAGCAAAGGCAACCGAATACACGAAGGTGGGAATATGTGGGGGGCTGGCCATAGAAAACTTCGTGAGGTGTGCGGAAGTTAAGAGTGGTGGTGGGCAATATATTGAACAGGTGAGCGGCCATGGAGAGGGCCTCGACCCAAAATTTGGGAGGAAGATTGGCTTGAAAGAGAAGAGAGCGGACAATATTGTTAATAGTGCGAATGGTGCGTTTCGCCCGTCCATTTTGTTGACTGGTGTGGGGACAAGAAAAACGAAAGGTGATACCAAGGCTCTCGAATATTGTTTTGAGGGGGGTGTTTCGGTATTCGGTGCCATTGTCGCACTGTACAGCTTTAATGGTGGTGTTGAATTGATTTTTCACATAAGCAATAAAAGTCTTAAGATGAGAATATACATCAGATTTATGTCGCAAGGGAAAAATCCATAAGTAATGAGAAAAATCATCCAACAGTAACATATAATGCTTAAAGCCTGTAACACTGGGAACGGGGGATTGCCACAAATCAGTATGTAGAAGTTGAAATGGAAAAATAGAAATACGACTCGATGACATAAATGGGAGGCGAACATGCTTTCCCAATTGACACGCATGACATAAAGAATGTTGAAATTGTTTAGTAAGACACTATGATAAACTGGGGACTCCACGAAGAACGGCATGGCTGGGGTGGCCCAAACGCCGGTGCCAAAGCTCTGGATCAGCGGTGACAGCATGGGCTTGGGCCTGGGTAGTGGGTGGGCTCATGGGATAGAGTGGACCAGCATCATTGGACCGATGAATCACGGACCCTGTCTGCATATCCTTCACAGAAAAACCAGCGGGGTCAAATTCAACGGTGCAATTATTGTCTCGGGTAAATTGTCTAACAGAGATAAGGTTATGGATAATATGGGGGGATACCAGGATATTATGTAGGGACAAGGGAGGGGAAGTAGGGAATTGATAATTACCGGTAGCCGTAGTGCGAACTTTAGAACCATTACCAACAGTGATGTATGAAAATGAATTTAAAGAATGAGAACGAACATGAGAAAGTGTACCTGTGTCGGAGGCTATGTGGTGGGATGCTCCCGTGTCCATGTACCATGTGGGGTCAC